ATTAGAGGATAATATGAAACCGAGCAAGCGTGCTGTAGCCGACGAAAGGTTATGCTCTAATAATTTTGTTAGTCTCTAAGGTGCCACAAGTACTCCTGTTCTTAAAAACTTGGTCATTTAACTAAGTTATCTCAATATCTACAATATTGCCTTACATGTCTTTATACTTTCTATAGAAAATTCTTTGAATACTAGAAATACTTCCTAGGACACCAATCCTGCAACCACATCTGAATGTGTCCACGCAAATCCCATTAGTTTTAACAGGGCTCTGCCTGGGCTAAAGGCTCCAGCCATACGGCTACGACTGCAGGAACAGGTCCTTATTAACCTTGTGCAACAGAGCCACTACTGTATAATACACAAGGCACAGTAAGTAGTGTTGCCTTGTGCCACAGCAGAACAGGGTCAGGACTCCACTGTAGTGAATGCAAAGCTAAGCCTGATTATAGAGTTATGGACACAAGACAAACTGCAGTTCTAGGATTCCACTTCCTCGGGCAGCACAACCTGTGATGCCTAGAGTCACAACACAGGGTCTCTCAGTCTCCCTAATTCATGGTCTGGATCAAACTGACCACTGTCTACACTACATAGCATAAATTACATAAATAAAATGCATATGATGAGGCAATATTATTATTTTGATTACCTCTCTCAATGTAGCTAGTGTTCTTTTATCAATGGTAACTTGCTTTATAAGGTCTTTATTGTCTTTTTCAAATTCTTTCATCTTATTAGACGAGTCTCTGAATCGAGCCATTTCTTTTTCAAGTGTTCTGTTTTCCTTCTCCACAGCTGCCAGCTTTACTGTGTTATCATCCAAAATCGCATCTTTCAACTCTACCTGCTGCCAAAGCCTTTTTGTTTCCTTCTCTAGCATCTTTTTGTCTTTCTCCAGTTGGGACACTTCTTGCTCCAGCACTTTGTTCTCCTTTTCTAACCTCTCCTGCCATTTGCTGGAAATCTTCAGCTCTTCAAGTTTTCTCTGGAGGACCTGATTTTCACTTTCCATTCCCTGTAGCTCTTTCTCTAGCTCTTGGGTTTTTTTGCTGCTGTTCTCCAGGATCTGCTGAAGCCTCTGATTCTCAGAGTTCACACTCTGATAGCTCAGCTCCAGCCTTTCCGACTTCTTTCCCAATGTTTTTAACATCTCCACATTTTTTCTTAGCTCCTCTTTCTCCCTCTCCAGCTCCTTATTTTCTGCCTCTATCTGTGCCATTTTTGTGCTGGTGAATCTCATGGTCTCTACCATCCTCCTGAGCTCCAGGTTCTCTTCATCCAGCTGCTTGTTGTCCCTCTGCAGGTCCTCTAGCCGGATGGAAACATTCTGTAAGGTATCCAGGGACTTTCTCAACTTCCTGTTCTCCACTTCCAGATCCCCATTTTCCTGCTCTAGAACCTCAACTTTTTCTGTTACAATTTTCATGGCTGCTGCCTTCTTTGTGAGCTGTTCATTCTCTCTCTCTAGCTGATGGAGCTCTTTCTCCATTTCCTCCACACGTTCTACCTTTTCTTTAACCTGTTCAAAATCTTTATGCAATTGTTTCTTCTCAAACTCCAGCTTGCTGAGTTTGCTGCTAGTCTCTGTAACTGTTTCATGGAGCATCTTGTTCTCTTTTTCAATGTCTTTTATTCTGGCCTCGCTACTAACCTGAGCCCTCTGTCTCAGGGACAAAACCACTTGGTTGAGGTGGTCATTCTCTTGTTTGAGGTCCTCTATCTATATTAAAAATAAAACAAGGAGAGAGTTATCTATAGTAGAGTAGACAGTACCTGAGGTGTTCCTAGTGAGTATGTTTTTTTAGAGCAATGTACAGTCTGGAAATTTACGCCTCGAAGCAGTCAGAACTCTGTATTAACAAAACAATGCCTATTTAACACAACACAAATTCTTCAACCATTACCCATTGTCATCCCTGACTCAAACCCTCTCCACCAATCCAAACTAAGGAAAAGGCTTCTTGAAGAAAATTTGGTTTTATCTAGCCCTTTTAATACCATACATGAGGTATCTCAAGGTACTAGTGAGTTAAACATTGTGCTTTATTCTTTTCAAACCTTGAACTAAGCAGGTCTAGGCAGAGTCAGTACATGGATGGGAGATCTCCATGGAACAGCTTGGACTTGATGATTTCTGAGGAGCCACTCCTGTCTCTGAGTCAGATTGAACCAATGCCCTAGCACAGTGCTCAGAGGCACTGTTCCCTCTCTTTTTAGGTTCATATTCTCCACTTATCACTGTGAAAACTGAAAGCACAAGTGCCCTTTACATAAGATGTAAAATTAATGTGCTGAACACTAGTATTTGTTAAAGAGTTCATTAAAAAAATATTCTTTGAAAGGGAAGAGAGTTCATCACAATTTCTTGGCCAAATTCCAGCTGAGGTAGTTACGTTGAACCAAATACTCAAATCCTTAGTCAGATTTTTACCTAGTTCTTACTCAGGCAGAACACCTACTGAAGTCAAATGGAGTTAGGCCCGAGTAAAGGCCATCCCTACCCTAGTTTCTGCCTACTCGAGTTTTCTTCACTTCCTGTCCTAAATGTGAAGCGTCCACTTCCTATCATGTCATGAGGAATTCCTGTGTGCTTTTACACAGCAGCTGTGCTTCACCACAGCTGTATTTCAGAGGTGGAGTTTTCCCGGAGTATAAATCTGTAAAGCACTTAAGAATGTTTCAGGATGAAAGGCACTACATATAAATGAAAGGTTTACTTTTATTATTTAACCTCACCCCAGCCTTGTCACACAAATCAATTTAATATATTTTAAAAGCAAGCACACCATTCTCCAATGACCTACACATCTATACGCATTATTAAATTACTAAGTATGAATGACACCTTGTAAGCTTGTAAAATAGCGGTATTGTACTTGAATTGCATCACAGCAGTAAAGGCTGCAGGGTATTTAAAATGTCAGTCTTGTGGGTGTAGTAGCTTTCTCAGCATTTTTTACTTAGATCAAGGAAGTCTAAGAAAACTACCATGACACATAGCTGGTATCACTCCAATCTTCTTCAGCAATATGGGATTTGAGTTGTACATCCTAATCTGTCTAGTCAAGGCTTTTTGAAGGGCAGGGAAGAACCAATGTTACAAACAACCTGAAGGCTCCCAAAGAGCAATGGGATGAGCAGACGACACCATCACATGTAGTTATTTTTGCTCAAAGCCACCTTGACTTGTATTTGAACAAGTGATCTGCATGCAATACACTCTGTGGGCTATTACCAAGCCCCTGAGCCATCAAGACCCTCTAAATGGCCATGGTAAAATGACCACTACTGAGCATAAGCTTTTGGATCACATTTGTGAAGTCGGCACCTGTCTGTCTTTGTCGGCTTTTACAGTCTCCATGACTCCCTGTAGCTGTTCTTTCTCTTTTATCAGCTCCTCGCTTAAGGTCTCCAAGTCTTGGTTGCTTTGTTTCTCTTTTTCAATCTGATTTTGCAACTTCTCAATCTGCACGGAGAAAGCACCACAAAATACATCAGACAACAAATTGAACCATGACTATTTTTATTTCAGGGCATTTTGAAAAGTAGAGATTAAATAGATGGCCAAGATGCTCTCTGTTCCTGAAGGGTTATGTCAAACCAACAAGACTGAGCAAACTAACCCTTCCCTTCTGAAAGTTGTTTAACGAACTATACAAATTTAGGTCAGAATTTTCAGAAATCTGAAAGTTCGTCAGGGACTGGGGTGAAACTCTGGCCCTATTTAAGTCAATGATAAAACTCTCATTGTTTTCAATGAGGCCAGGATTTCACACCTGGTACCTCAAGTTGGATACCCAAAATGGAAGCACATGAAATTAGAGAACACTTCTAAAAATGTGGCTGCTAGTTCTTTGATCTCTCCACTTACATCAATATTTTGCCCTATTGTCTTTAATAGTCCTTACACTCAACATTATAGTGTCCTTTTCTTCCTGCTTGCATTAACTATCAAGCAAGTCTGAGGGAACTATGGTTTGGTTTACTGTTGTTTTTTAAATTACCTCTTCCTCCATTAAAACTTCCTCTATCATCACCCCTTTTCCACATTCCCTATATCTGACACCCAGGCCGCTTGTGTGGAAGTTCTGAGTCTCCCCCACCATTAATATTTGCTTTGCTGCTGCATTAAAAACAAAAAAACCTTCCCACTCTACAAAAATCCCATTGATCATTCTTGGACATGAAATTTTGTCAGCATCAGGAATCTCAGGATTATAGGTCTCCACACAGCATGTGTGAGGAAGACACATTTTGTTAAAAAAAACAAAAAAAACCCCAACACACACACGATAAACCCAATGTAAGATGCTTTACAAGCCTTATATCTCTTAGTATCAACAGACCATGTACCACTGACACTGTAGTTGAGCAGGCAAATGACTGTGCAGTAACTTCTTTTCAAATCTCCTTGAATAGGTGACAGAGTCACCAGCAATATGATCAGATTGTGATATTCAATCAACATTCACAGACTAGGTTACCTCCCATCACAGTCTAAGTGATGCATCATTAGCAAAGAATTTTAGTTCTGTTTCATGAATCACAGCTGTTCTTGATCACAACACTTTAAACCCACTGGCATTTTTGCTCTGTCTCATGCCCACACATTCTGCCCTGCCCCTGCACTGACACTCTCTATTACTGGATAATCCTACTCATTTAAGGGTGGGGATCAAACCTTTAGGTAACCCAGGCTTGGTAACACTCCCCACTGCCAAAACAGGAGCAAATCAGACTAATGCTGGGCCCACAAGTGCTGGTACTGATATAGTGCCACAACTTGAGGTATCAAAGAAATATGTATGTGGTAAGCCAAAGTTAACTGCAGCTGTTCAAATGACTTAAGTTGCTGGGCACCAGAGACATTTGTTGGGCACTTTATACCCTTAGATCTCAAGTTCTGAGTGTTTTAATTAGAGAACCTAGTTTGAATGACTGTCACAAAGGGGCCGTGAAGGAATGGAGTGGGAAGAGGGAGAGATGAATTTTTGCAGACTCTCTCTCTCTCTTGCTCAGATAGGGACTTTGAGAAGTGGATTTTGTTCTCTCACCTTGGCAAAAGCATCCTTCAAAGTGCTCCCTGTAGTAAGGGGATGCCAACCCCCTCTCACTGGCATAGAGGCAGGTACTGTGCCAATTATAATCAGCCAATCTACATCTAGACTACTATCTACAAAACAGCAAATGGGCGCTCTCATTTAGGGCATCCTAATGGTCCAGCACATCTTTAACGGGAAGCTGAGCAAAGAGGGGAGCCCAATATGTTTCAGGGCCAAAGTGTTGTATAAGCTTGTATCAATACCACAAAAGATATTAGTTACAGCAGCAAAGAGAAAGGCAGGAGTAGGCCCCATAACACGTTTAGTGTTATGGAGAGGGATGAGGAGAACTAAGTCCCTTACATGGGAATTCTTCAAATGGATCAAACTAACAAGCATCCTGTTTCCCCACTGGCACTGGGTCTGTTACTTGGAGATCAGAATGCATGCTGTAGCCAGACAAAACCAAAGCAGGTGGCTGTGGCAGAACTGAACACCCCTTTCCTAAGGGAGAGCTGGGCTGGCACATGAGCTAAAAGTATTAACAGTCAATAAGGGAGTGTGGCAAAAAAATGTGACTAGCAGCACATTCATTACCAGGAATGAAAAGAACCCGTGGCTTTGTGGGAAGGGGAGATGCAGCAGAACGCTGTGATAGCCAGAAAAGGAGACAAGGCGGAGAAGTCAATCAAGGACCCTGAATAGCAGAGGATGTTTCTTTAAAAATATATCGGGCCGAACTCACCCTTCATGTAACTTCACTGATTTAAATGGAATTACACAAAGGATGAGTGTAGCCCATTGTTTTCTCCTCTGTAACAGAACAAGCTGAGGAAATACTTGTCATGGAACAGGCAGTGGGACAAGAGCACAATCTGCCAGTGGCAGAATAGCTCCATGAAGTGCATATATAAGGAAGAGGACGACTATAATTATCTAGGCAAGTACTAAAAAATGAGTTGAGAACCTCATGCAGAACATGCATGAGCTCGCCAGGGTTGACAGTACTGCCACAAGCATCACTCAGGAATGCTGTAAGCTGCAGAGTGTAACAGGTCTAGTTCCAGCACACCGTTAGAAACAGCAGAATCAGCTCCCAAATAGCTAGGCCAGCATGAACCTAGTGAGAGTTACCTTCTTGCTAAGTTGTTGATTCTCCTTTTCCAGCTCTACAAACTTTAGGCTGCTCTCTTCCGTGGTCAAAGAGAGATCTCTGAGCTCTTGGATGGTGGTTTGCAGGCTCTGATTGTCCTTTTCTAGCTTCAGAATGCGACTCGATGCACACTCGTTTAGCTCAAACACAAAGGACTTTCTAGCTGTTGAAACATAAGAATCAGAATGCAGGAGTTTATACACATTCATAAACATGTTATCATTTCTAGGATCATAAAACATAGATAATTAGGGCCAGACCCCTAGGACTTCAGCTGATCTAGAGTGGTAGAGTGGTCCCTAAGTAAAAACACCTACATTAAAAAAAAAATGGAACATACTTCCATAGATAATAATAGTTACACCCCTTCATGAACAGGAAAGTGTCCAAAGACATGATATCGCAAAAGCTGCTTATTTTCATAGTCTCATATCTAAGAATCAGGTTAGCTACTAAGTTGAATGGTTAACTAGAAACGTTTGGTGTGACACACTTTTGCTGAGATAGAAATTCTTTAAAAAAAAAATCAACATCTGAAACTAGGAAAAATGCCATTTTCAATCATTTATACCATGAAGTTGCAGCTTCAGCACATGGCCAATTAAAACTTGTATATTAACCACCGAAATCGCTCACGTGAATGGGTGCCAGTGCTCTGGGTTACCCAACTGCTTTAACAGGCACACACTGAAGCAGTGTGTGTATTTTAAGGCTGGATACACATGCACTAAGCATCAATCACAGAGAATTCTCTCTGAATGTGAGTTTTGCCACTGACTTCAACAGAGCCAAGATTTCACCCCAGGTGTTTAGAGTTCACAGGTTTTATCACATTTTATGTGACATTTCCCAATACCAGCGTCTCCATTGCACATTTACCTTTTTCACAGTAATTGATTTTAGTAATTCAGCACTGGAGTAACTAAAAATCTACTTCCTGTTTCAAATGTAACAGATCTACTCTCTACATAAAAATCATATGTTTAACATGCAAGTGACATTAACTCTGTGTTCTAGTCTTAGAAAATACTCATCCTTGCAGGAAGAAAGACAAAATGTAGTGCTGCTACAGCCCCTTAAATAGCACTTACAACTGGCAGAAACTCCTGGGAGTTTGAATGGTTTACAACATCCATGATCTTTATGAGCAATACGCTGGTGAGTTTTGGTTGCCTTGATGTTTAACACTAATACCATCAGCATGGTTCAATTTCAATTCTATTCTGAAATAAAGTCTGTAAAAGTGGCTTTATTGGTTTCCATGCTTATTGTTACCTATTGATTTCTGTATCAACTGTGCTCAGTTTACAAGTAAAAAAAAAGGGGGGGGCGGGAAGGGGACGGTTCTACGTGTCATCCTTCCAAACTCAACCTGAGATCCAACAGTCAAGCTGGGTTCTTTACTGATCATCACCACAGCTAAAATAAAAGTTCTGGAGACCAAACTGTGCTCTCAGTTACATCTGCACAATTCATCTGTCCTCAGTGGGATTAAAGTGTAACTAATTGGAACTTCATAAATGGAGCTGGCTGAAAAATAGGAAAACATTTTTGGGAAAGATTTTGAAATTTTTAAGTTATTTTCATTTCACAGGGTTCAAAAAAATGAAGTAACTGTTTTTTTTCCAAAATTTTAATGATTTTTTATTCAGATTTTCATAAATTTGCCTTCCCCCTGCCCCTTTTTCTTTTGCCACAAATAAATGATGTCATTGACTCTCCTCCACTTTTCTTTTGCTACTCTGTTGAAGTTTTGAAAAGCTAAAACTTTTGAAGAGTTACAGACTGATAGAGTTACAAAGTTTATCATTAATTATTATTCCCCCTTTATAACTTTTCTAAATTTGAGGAAGTTTTGAAAGGTTACAAAATGGACAAACAAAAACAAAAAATGGGAAAGAACCTAGACATCATTCATTCTAATACATTCAGCGGCAAAAAAGAAATACAGGAAAAAGCAAACAAAGGAGGGGGGAAAAAAACCAGAAAAAAACAAAACAACCCCCCCCCCCCGCAATTTGAAACGAGGCAGAAATGTTTGCATTGCTTCAAATTTGTCACAGAAAAATTGCATTTCCCAAAATGTTTCAATGTTGATGAAACCGTATTTTTGCTGCACAAGAAGAACCAGATTACAGTTCATCCTCTCTGAACTTGCTGAGCTCGCTCTGCAGGGCTAACAAAGTAACAAGAACTAATTAGTCAGTACAGTTAGAAGATATATCTCAGGATACATACAGCAAGCCAATCGGAGGAGCAAGGTGGTGGTGCCATTTTTACATATAGTCATTTTACAAGATCCTGATTTTACCAAGACATGTGCACGTGCTAAGATTTACATAATGTGATTTGCCCCACTGACATCAATGAACCTACTCATTGTGTGTAAAGCTAAGCATGTGCATGAGGCTTTAAGGGATTAGGTAAGTGTTCAGTAAAGTTCTGATACTGAAAACTTCTGCCAGTAACATCCTGTTATGTATACCAGGATTCTTTAAAATATGATTTTGTATCCTAGTATTATAAACTGAATTAATTATATGAAAGAAACCAATTATCAAGCCTATGATACAGGGCACTGATTTTTTTTTTATGTCTTGCATATAATTACTGAAAGTGAATCACCCACTTAAAAAATATCCAGCCGGTTATTTCCCCTCCCCCTCACTCATTTTTCGCCTTCTATTAAAAATAGTTACCTCACAGCATAGGCTTTTTCCTGGGACTTAGAGATCAGCTGGGAGTAGACAAGGGTCATCGACTCCTCCCAGGCACTAACTATTTAGTTAAAAATACCTTGTGCTGGGATCATTACTGTGCAATATACGAGCGTGTTTGTTTATTTTTGGGCACTTTCTCAAGGGAGGTTTAAATATAAAGAAGTCATTGTTAATAGTTACATAACATAAGGAAAGAAGCTGGAATCTGTGGCATTGTTAGAAGCTTTTTGTTCAGTTTAAATAATAAAAAGTCAAGTGACTAAATACGGAAATGTATTTCCCCATGTGAACTACTGAGCCTGGAGTTTGAGGTTTTGCTCCTGCCCAATGCAGTAACTTGTTCCCCGCTCCTCTTCTACAAGGAAACCTTGCGCAAGCACAATAATAATTAAGAGTCACCTCATGACTGCTACTTACTATCTGCGAGGTCTGTGCTCTTTGACAGCTGTTCTAGTTCCCAGCCCAGGTGTGCAGACTCATTCATGCTCTGTTTTTGCGCGATCTCCAGTACCATATTCTCTTCCAGCAGCTCTTCAATTCGCTTCTTGTCTGTGTCCCGGTCCTGTGGAAAGAGCATGCAGATGGAACATCATGCTGAGCGTATTAACTAGGGAGCCTGATCAGGCTTGCACAGTTATTGTTACTAGGAGTGATGAATGTATCAAGAATTGAACGGACCCCTCTACACAACATGTGTGCATATGTTAATATACACATACAATATTAAGAGAGACCCCACACAGATCCAAGATTAGAGCCATCCTCTGGATGGGCCAGATCCCAAATGAAACTTCCCCAGGTTCAGAGGTACAAAGATCCAGGGTTTTGGTTTAGGCCCATCTCTAATTACCTGAAATACTAAATGGACGATTCAAGACATGTTTAATACAATCAAGCCTGCATAATTTCACTACTAACTTGACAACTTTTTGACACTATCTGGGCTCATAATAAGCTCTCTGCTCTTCCTAAAGCTGAAGATAAGCATCACAGAATCAAAGATATTTTTTCTTCATTTCTTGAAATGCCAAGAAGTTAAATCTTCATGTCACATCACTGTCAGTTTCACACAGCTTTTTAACAAAGAAACTGTGTGAATAAATGGAAAATAAATTCATATAATGTACTTAAAAAAAACCAAACAACCAAACAAAAAAAACACCCTACCATACCAGGTGATACCACATGCTGTAATTGGAACTAAGTGCTGTTAGGGTAGGAAATCAGTAATTTCTAATTGACATTAAGTTCTTGACTTAATTCTTGCCTTTCACATGCAAAATGCACCAAATATGCATGGGCTCAATGAGACATTGTTCAACATTTCCCAATGGAAGTCAGGTTTTTACTGCTGATTGACAAAATGGGAATTATTCTAATGAACAGATGAAAAATAGGCTTATATACACAGAACAATTTCCATTAAAGTGAGTTGGTATTGAATGGGATAGACTTTAGAAAGTGATGAATAGTTGTCCCAGTCAAAGTACTGGTGTAGCCTATAGGCACAGGCATGCTCCTCTCTCTCTCTCTCTCTCTCACACACACACACACACCATCCCTTTCTCCTTATAAGACACTTGTATCACTCCGAATAATATTTACATGCATGATGTTTGCATTGAAATGAGAACCACCATCTCTATATGCTACATAATACGCTAATACATAATGCACTAAGACAGGCAAAACATACCTAACATGAAAGACATCAGCTAGGTTAGTGATTTGGGGCAATACATTTTTGGTTGCTCAATTCGAGACACCTGACAGGCGCGCTAGCCCTCTGCATGTCATGCCTCTTCAAGGTATCTCAAGATGGGCACCCAAAATTTGAGGCACCCAAAATTATAAGCCAATTTTGAAAGTCTTGGGTATCATTCGTTTCTTAATTTACGATGTTCTGAGCTGTGCATTTAGCGTAACACTAGTGGATCTGACCAAGACCTCCATTCCAGCAAAATCTTTTTCAGGCTAATAAATGACCACACTTTGCAAGAATTCAGAACAACGAACCCATAAGAATGAGGAACACTAGTAACTAAAATTACAGCACATGAAGTAACATTTCTTATGTTTAATGCAATAATAAATGTCCAATGTAATTTATTAGCCTTTTAGTTGTGAGTGATAAACTGCCAGGTCTTAAGTCTCTCATTTGTGTTCAAACGAATAAGCCCCTTTTCTCTGATTTACGTAGTATTAAATATTGAGAACATTTTATTTTTTGCAGTGGTCAGTGCCTCAGACCTGCTGCAATAACTATACATTTTATTTTCAGCAAGAACAGTTGTTCATTGCAGCAGATTTTCATATCCCAGGTGTAAGACTTTTTTTTTTTTGACTTTTTTTTTACATTCTAAACCCTCAACATCCATGTACATAGGTTCAGTATTTGAAACTTGGTGATATACGCTCATGTAACCTGAAATTTGTCAAACCATTTGCTTCTCCCAAGCAGATCATGTTTTTTTATATTTATATAAAATATAAATATATTTTATTGTAAGTCAAGTGTCACACTATTTTAAGCATGCATGATGCACTGTGCACTGACACAAAGTTCACATGGCCTGAGACACATTGAAAACTTTGTAAATGGGATTTGTCCAACTCCACTAGATTATGTAAAAAGAGTATGTAATCTAGTTTAAAAATATGATTTTTTTAAAAATCGCATAGTTAAATAAAGAGTGTGTACCAGCTCTACATCATGAAGTTTGGATTTCAATTGCAAGTTTTCCTTCTCTAGTTCATGCAATTTATCACCACGAGCTCTTGCTATTGTTAACTGTTCTTCTAGCATAGCCTTTGTTTCAATTAATATGATGTTGTCTTCTCTCAATTCCTAGAACACAAAAAGAAAAACACCATATGAAGTCAGTAGTTTCAGAATTTTACGTTGCAAACATCAGACAACTTTAATATACTACAGTTTGAAAAAAAGGATATATAGCACACCTATACAAGGGCATTGAAATACTGGATATTTACCTATGAATAGCACCTTTTAATCATTACCTCTAAGATTACAATTTTACATATGAAGATCCCATGAAGACAAAGATTTACACTTTAAAATGTTCCAATATCAACGTTGGTGAAGCACTTGGAAGACGGAGAGCGCACATATAAATAAACAGACCTAGACCTTTAGAGGTTACGGGAACATTTACATGAAAAGGTCCTTTCAATAACATGTCAGAAAGAATTCTCTTTCCCTCTTTCTCATGTACATGGCTTTATTTCACTTAAAGAAGCACTGGTTTGCAATGACCTCTTAGACACCTGACACAATCATTAACTGTATGAACAGTTTTGTTTTTCCTCTAGGCCAGCAGCATTTTTGGTTTGTGTTTTGTGGAACACAAACCAATCTGGTTCTGCAGCTACAGCAGTTCTAGCACAGCTCTAGGAACAAGGCTGGTGAATTATATGGTGCTCCCCTTGTTGTTTGAACCACAACAAAGCAAAAATTGCAGCATCATGCATTCATATACCTTATCTCCAGAAATAATGCATATCCACAGCATAAAATCTGGTTGACATTCTTGACCAGGTCAGAACAGCTTTAAATTGTCTGATTTCAGGTAAAAAAAATATATATATAACTGCTTACTTTTATCTTTAAATGCTTTTGATATCAGAAACATACATGTAAGGCCTGCAATTCTCTCACTCAGGAAAGCAACGGCATTTGAAAGATGAGAAAGAGCAGGATGTTACATAGGGAAACCGAGGGTGGAATGGGGACAAAATAACCCAGCAATTTACCTTGTTCCGCTAAAAAGATTTGTACACCTCTACCCCAATACAACGCTGTCCTCGGGAGCCAAAAATTTTTACCACGTTATAGGTGAAACCGCATTATATCGAACTTGCTTTGATCCACCGGAGTGTGCAGCCCCGCCCCCCTAGAGTGTTGCTTTACCGCGTTATATCCGAATTAGTGTTATATCGGGTCGCATTATATCGGGGTAGAGGTGTATTAGTTTATTTTTTCCTCCAACATACAGAAAAAATGGAACACGCACACATCCACGGAGAAATAATTATGGGTGGACAGTTTATTGCTGGACAATAGCCTTCAAATTGTAAAGCCTCTGCTGATATCAGTGAATGAGTTTGCTCTCTCTGACAACAAACCTTCAAAACACATAGACTACTGAAAGATTATCAGGAATGAGTAAGTTGTGGTGATTCGTTGGACAACAGCTGCCTTCCCATTTTTGGAACGATACAATCAGGGGCCTCAAAAGTCTCATGGCAGCTCAGTAAGACTCATTTCCGAGTCTAAATGTCGCATTTCAGAACATAGTTTGCAGAGATTGTTATGAAATGGTGATCATGCTCTAACATGCATACAAACCTAATATATACATAACCCTTAACCATAACTCATAACCAGTCTATTAATGCTGACCTAAAGAGAAATCATACAAAGGCTTTCAATTTAACCCTAATTTATCCTAAAGCCAGTGGGAAGAGTCAGCAGTTGACCAATTAATCTTCAGGCATTTCTTGCCATTCAGATAGGACTTTCCTGCAGTATGCAAAACTCTAGCCATCAGCTACCCTCCTTAGAAATAGAGAGTGCTGTGGGGTGGAGATGTGCTGCAATTTCTTGGAAATAAACTTTGGCAGGGAAAAAAAAAATCTCATGGCCCATAGAAAAGAAAAATCCCTGGTTATTGTTGCTACTGCTTAGAACCAGCACTTCCATCCATCACCTATTGCGTGGAATGGCTTTTAAGTCCCCATCACACTGAAACTGATTAGTGCAAAGCTGTTGCAAAACTTTAGATGAATGTGTTTTTGGAACAATTCCAGTAGTAGTAAGAATCCATGGAGAAACATTTCTATTAGTTTTAGGTTTTATAAAGAGAGAAAGGATGTTCTTGTGGTTAAGGCTGACTGGGACTCAGGAACTCTGGATTCCGTTTCCCAGCTTTGGTACAAACTTCCCGTGATATCCTAGACCTAGAGAAGTCCCTTAATCGATGTGTGTCTCAGTTCCCCATCTGTAAAATAGGGATGATTGCACTTTGTGCTCACAGAAGATACTATGATGGTGACTGCAATAGAGACGTCTGTGAGTAAATTAATAAAGAGAAAATGTTGAAACTCTGATATTTTAAGACCTAAATTTTGGACCACATTTGACCAGAGAGGAGGAATATGTTAAACTGTCTGACACCAAAACAGATGAGAGTGAGTGGAGTTAAAAACAGGCAGCATGCTGGGTGTAAAACAAGTACCAAAAATACTCATATTGAAACAATGGGTCAATCAGAATATATTTAACAAACTGTCCTGCTCAGTCTGGACCACAGCCATGAGAAGTAAGATGGTGTTTGACCTCATAAACATCACCTCAGAACTCTCTCTGAAACTGCTTACCAAGCAGGAACTGATTATTTCAGTGTCTCATGAAGAGTCTAACTGTGTGCCAAGTAAGGAATACACATATTTGGTCTCTGTTTGCAAATCACACATTGTTGGGAGCCATAATATCTGAGAAATGGGAGGTACGCACTATGCATGTGCCTGAGGGGCGAGGAGGAGGAGGAGGATCTGTCAGATCAGAAGGTTTCTGATGAAATCTTAATTTAAGAACCTTTTGCAGAAGCCTGTTAAAGTTGGGCCAACATTATTTACTTGCACCCATTTTCTGAGGTCATCTTTATAGTGCAAACTTAATTTAAGTAATTACTCCAGGATAGCTTTATAAAGTTATGTCTCAGAGCCTGGAAGGTAGAATTGTTCTTAGCACAGCATATTATAACTAATGTCACCACAGATAACCCTAGGGTAGCACAACTGACCTGAGAATTGGTTTGGCTACAAATCATTTTTGTATTAGATAAGCAGAATGGTTGGGTGTATTCTTCATGGGAATGAAGATTTTTTTCCCTCCTTTTAAATTAATAAAACTCTCAAAATGGTTTTATAGCCGTGGGGTATTTTTAAATCAACAGCACAGAATAGTTATCTATGGTCTTTTAAGATTTATAATATGTTTACTTATAAGAGATTCCAAAATCAATTAGAGGAAATTTACCTTAAAACGAACTATGACTATAAAATATCCAACGATTTCTGATCTTGCCTTCATAAACCTCTCACTGAATTAAACCATAGAATTTGGTCTGCAGCCTTAACAACATGGGTCCTGATCCTGCAAACACTTATGCCCATGAGTAGACCACTTAAAATTAAATCTTAGCATAAGTATTTGCAGGATTGGGGCCAGAGTGTTGAATATTCAATTGAAACTGGAGAGTTCTCTCTCTCACACACACACACACACACACACCCCTGATGCTATGGAAGTTGCTCCCGCTGAGCTGCAAAAATGTTAACGAATGCCCTGGAATAATTGCATTTTGCATCCATCAAACTAAATGAAAATGTAAAAGAAATGCTTTTTTTTTTTTAATTATTAAATGTTCACAGGAATTTCTTCCTATTATCCTGTGGGGAAACTTATTGCAGTTGGGGGAGGAAAAAATGCAAGTAAGACTCCCTGGTCTCCAAAAAGAATCTGATCTCCTGGAGAGGCACTAGACTCAATGCAGCATTCCTCTCCAGCAGGGCTTTTATGTTGGAGGGAACCACCTGCTCAGAGGAAGCCCTGCATTAAGCCTACCCCTGCACATTGATAGCTATGACCTCATTAAGCCACCACAGTGGGCAAGTCCATAGACTGCATTTGCATTGTGTTTTCTTAGAGCTATAATCAAATTAAAACAGCGTTTGGTAATTTCTTCTTGTCATGAAAGACGCGGAAGGAAAACATTCACCTGCTCAGACATGTCAAGTCTCGCTCACTTGCAGTGAGGCTTGCTCCTTTTGCACTTGTTCTAAGACAGCTTCTCTAATCTCCCTCCTGCCATTAGGGACTTTTAGCCTGTGGTTTAAGGAGCTATTTAAAGTCTCACTCCAATTTCTCTACTCTTACCTCTTGTAAACTGCCTCACATGGGCTGCCCTCCATATGGCACTTTCATGACCATTGCCCGGAGATGACATTCTTTAGGGGCATGTTTTCATGGCTGTACTTCAAGTACCAGAACTAGAGGCTTGTTAAGTGCCCATCATATGTTTCTTCATTGAAGTGCATGCAGTTAAAATGGCCCTATCTATGTGAAATTCGTTTCAGAGTCTCAGACCCTCTGAGCTTAGGAAGCTACCAATAAGTGTCAGGGGAGTTGGATCAGCTTTATAGCCTAGTGGTATCTCTCACCGTCAAGTGAGGGACTAGAACTAGACCCCTGCTCCGACACTGGGAGTGGTTCTGAGGAAACTGTAAATCCAGCTATTTTTCAAGGCGGTGAGAAAAGTGTGAGCAGGCAAAGCTCTGAATTAAGTCCTATTCATTACACCTCACTTTGAAGGACAGTTGCTTAATCAGGGGGGAAATGGAAGGGAAACTGAGGGATAACACTGGCTGAAGGACATATACATTGTCAGATTCTGGCCTCATTGAAGCCCCTTTACATTGGTACAGCAACATAAGAGGGCCAAAATCCCCCCTGGGGAATTTCCTGAATGCAGCCGTCAGGAGCAGCACAAGGCCAAAGGAGACAGTTATGCTGCCCTTCTACATCTTGGGATGTGCTGGGGTATTTAGGACAAGGAGTGGCTGGAATGCAAAATACTGGCAATTTTACACTGTGGAGCAGCCCAAAGGCAGCTGAAGCAGCTCCTAACTTATGCCAGAGGACACATTGACCCCCTAGAGCAAACAGAGTTCGAAAGGTGCCAAGAAGATGTAAAATGACCTTTGCTCCATCCCCATGCCTCCAGATTGCAGCTCTTAGAGATACAGCACAGAATCTCACCTATGATGCAGAATCTTGACACCCAACACGGAAGAGACAGAGGTGGGAGACTGCATAAGGGATGGAAGAAAAGACATGAAGGAGAGCTCTGTAAATTTTACATTATGGATCAAGTTAACGTAGCACATAGGAAGCAGAAGTGGTTAGTTTGAGGGTATTGCTGGCTCTAGGGCAAGCCACAGTGCTGAGAACCCAAGTACAGTACAATAGAATGGCTGCCCTCTTGTCTCAGATGAAGATAAGAGGAAGCACTAGCCTCTCCCATGCTACCAGAACCAACTCCTCTGCATGCTTTGGGCAGCAGACTAAAGTATAGCAGCACAAGATGTGGCTCTGCTATCTAGGGTGCATGATAGGGTTAATGCACAACTGATTTGCCAGCTTGAGGGAGTAGGAGAGAGAGACGATTTACAGTAAGAGATTGCAGTAAACTGGAAATTGCCTGCAGAGAGAAGCCTGCCTCAGTTTGCAGTTTATACATTTGATACTCAGCACACTTAGTGGACCTATTTATAAGACGCAGTGGACAGCTGGTCCCCTACGTTGGCAAAGAGAAAAATGTATTTACAAGGCGAGGTTTGCAAACCATAAAGAACTGCCATGTTTTCAGCAGGGAGTGTTATGGGCGTATGTTTTAGTGACACTCCATTATCTCAGGAGCTTTATATACTTACAGTTTGGGCCCAATCTTGGAGTCAATTGCAAAATTTCCACTGGCTTCAATGTAAGCAGAACTGGGATTACATGATTCCAAGATTCAGCCTCCAGAATCCATCTCAGACAGTCTTTTGATTGCATCTGACTCTGGCTAAAGTGCCACATTCTTCCATTGGAAAGGCAAAGAATTACTCAACCAGCCCAAAACATTCTCATTGTTGCTAGTGGCATGGCAGTCACAATCAGATATTTATCCATAGGACAAGCAGAAGAATTTTGTCTGTTTTTGGATACCATAAAGGTTTCATACACAGTAAAATAAACAAGCGACTTGGACACTGTAAGGTAGAGGACTTCAGTTAGTCTGATTCAGTTCTGGAGCCCATATACAGTAGATTCAGTGAGGTATTTGTTGACAGCTGTTTCCCATAATCTTAGTCACACGTTGAGTCTATCCATTTTCTTCAGCATGAACCCTAACAGAAGCAAGCAGGGCTAATGCAAATGCACTGAGCAGAGCCGTCCCTTGGGTGCTGTGACTCGGGGTGACTGCTCCAGGCCCTGCACTTTGAGGGGCCCCAGGGGCCGGACCGATTGGCTGGTGTGGCCGGTCCCGGAAGTGACGGATTCGTCACTTCCGCCCCAGACCCCGCACCTCACTAAGGACAGCTCTGGCACTGAGGCAACCCTTCCTGCCACAAGGTCACTGCTATCTTGTGTGACAAAGTTCCTCCTCTATCTTGGTGGGTCCTGCGCTTATTGGCAGATTTTCTTGCCTCAGAGATTCACCATGTGGGTTGGGGAACAGCTCAGAGACCTTCCCCTCTGGAAGAACCCACAGTCCAGGTCAATTGGGAGGTTTGGGGGGAACCCGGGCCCGCCCTCTACTCCAGGTTCCAGCCTAGAGCCCTGTGGACTGCAGCTGTCTATAGTGCCTCCTGTAACAGCTGCATGACCGCTACAACTCCCTGGGCTACTTCCCCATGGCCTCCTCCAAACACCTTCCTTATTCTCACCACAGGACCTTCCTCCTGGTGTCTGATAACGCTTGTGCTCCTCAGTCCTCCAACAGCACACCCTCTCACTCTCAGCTCCTTGAGCCTCTTGCTCCCAGCTCCTCACACTCGCACCACAAACTGAAGTGACCTCCTTTTTTAAAACCCAGGTGCCCTGATTAGCCTGCCTTAACTGATTCTAGCAGCTTCTTCTTAATTGGTTCCAGGTGTCCTAATTAGCCTGCCTGCCTTAACTGGTTCTAGTAGGTTCCTGATTACTCTAGTGCAGCCCCTGCTCTGGTCACTCAGGGAACAGAAAATTACACATCCAGTGACCAGTATATTTGCCCTCTACCAGACTCCTGTACCCCACTGGTCTGGGTCTGTCACACTTCCCACATTACCAGAAACAGGTCCATCCATGTTTCTAGCACGGAATCCTCAGCTCTCCCTCTCTATTAGTTTTAGGTGGAAAAGAATTAGTAAGAACGAGCAGTAGAAAAACTCCAGAAGGGTAGAATTAGGTGCTTGTACTGTGGGTGAACTGAAATGGGGTGGAAGGTATCCCTATGTATCAGGGAAATGTAGGGGATCTCAAGAGTTAAAGATGAGATTAGCCAAGAGGCCTAGAAAGAGAGTGAAATAGGATGAGCAGTGGCCTGAAGTGGCTAAGCAGAAGATACTGGTATTACCAATAGCATAAACTTATAAGTGCAAACACTTAAGAGCAGTTTCTCTGTTATTTACTAAGGCCAACATTTGCAGATTTCGGTTCCTAAAGTTTGCCATCTGAATCTATACTTAAAAATTTCTAGCCACTTCAATCGGAGCCGCAGATGCTAAGAACCTCTGAAAAAATCAGGCCATTTATTTAGATAATTAGCACAAGTTACTCACAAATAGAAAATTTGGCCAAAGAATCAACTCTGGCACAAAGACAGCTTGAAAATGTACTGCAAGGAAGTTGCAAAGAGGACCCAGACTTGTAGTGTCAAAGAACAGGGCTGCTACAGTCAGCCACATAATGGAGATGCAATAGATCTATAACGAGGGGGCTTTTCAGCACTGGCTTAGCCCATCTCTCACTGTTGAGTTTTACCACTAACTCCAATGGGGGAGCAGAGCTAGACCATTGCTGAGTGCTTTCAAAAATCTCATCCATCAGGTATTTTCTGGAACTTCAGTTTGCTTTAATGTGCTGGTAGAGTGAGAGTGATTACAAATGAAGCATGAACTGGTGAGCAACACTGGGGAAAATGTGCCCTGAACAGCAGATTTTTTTCCTGATCTTCACTTGCCTCCATACGAGCCTTGTAGAAATCCACATCATGCAGTTTCTCTTTACACCGGACCAGTTCCATCTCGAGTCTCTCGACTCGGTTTGCTCTCTCTCTCAGTGAATCCAGTTCATCTCTGTATGCTCGGGCAGAGCGTGCATCAGCTGCCAGGTGGATGTTCTGGGAAAAGTGACAGACAAACGGAAAAAATAAAATTAACCCCCCCATTCTGATAAAACTCATGACATACCCCTTCCCCTGCCACCAAGTCCAAATGAGTGGAAGTGAATGGAAAGCCAAGAGTGACCCCACGGTGCAAGTGTGGCGAACTCTTCGATTAGCCATCAAACTCACTGCAGGATTGAGTGGTAACTCAGCCTACAGGGATTCTTCAGTTTTCAATGATCAGCGCTGTATGTGCTCCAGGCATTATTGGACTAGTCGGTGAACTGAGCAGATGAGACCTGCTCTAACCAGTAAAGTCACACTGCATTACTCTGTCACAATCAGACCAACACACAACATGCTGCAGTAACTTGGTTCCATCATATAAATTTCATGAGAAGAATTTTTATCTTACTATTGAAAGCAATATTTAAAGTGATGTGTGTCACGGCAGTGTTACAACTGAAGAAGCTCCACTTACCTCCTGTTTTATTTTCTGCACCTCTAGTACGAGCTGTTCTGCTTCATGTTTAGTGTCCACGAGTTGCTCAGATTTTTCTTCCCTGAAAATGATTACGGAAAACTTAATAAGAAACTATAACAAGGGTTCCTGGAACAATATTTATGGCATTAACATCATGGCAAGATGTAGGGGGTATTAGTCACAGGAGTCCACCAGGATAATCTGGACACGAGACCTTCTAGATTTTCTTGGTGCTGCCCAGTTTCAAAGTTACCAATAGCTACAGATGTTTTCTTGTGGGGCCCTCAGCCACAGGAAATGTGGGACTGTCTCTCTTTTTTAAATCATCATTTCACCTGCCATTCCTGCTGCCACAGTCATTTGTAACCAGTTCTTCCCAACAATCACTGCCAACAAGCGAGGGTAATGTGTATGCATGTAGGGAAGGGGAAATACCAGCTGGAATCAACAATCTTTGAAAACTTAAGGATGGCATGGGGTGGGGAGGGAAAGAAGAAAGAAAGAGTGAGGGATGTGGGAAGGCAAGAAAAGAGGGAAGGGAAAGACAAAATAATGGAGGTTTGAGATTGGTGACAAGAAAGAGGGAAGATGGGAAAAGGTGAAGCCAGCTACTTTGCGTACATCCTTTCCTTGAGCAACCCGTCACCCCCAACCTACAAGACCCAAATCTACAGCAAGTCTGCATGTAGAACTCCGAGACAAGTCAAGGTGTTGAAACCAATGGGCAACCCGATGCTGCAGACTCAGGCTTAATACATGTTTACTTGCTGCTGTTACCAAAGAACCTGAAATAGAGAGCGTTTCTCCAGCAGCCCAGGCGTTTAGTGACTTACAATTCCTGTCGGACCCTTCTCAGCTTTGCTCTTGTGTCTGCCAGCTCAACAGCCAGGTGCTGCTTGTCCTCATTGGAGAGACGATTGGCTAGGTTTGGTGAAGAATCTGGACTAGATGTTTTCAGAGGACTTGGTGGTTGCTGAGACTGCAGATAATCTCTCTCTTGAGTGAGATCCACAATCAGCTGGAAAAGGAGAGAGGCCAGTGGCATTAACAAGAAATAACAATACATTGCACTTACAGCTCCTTTCACTCAAGCATCTCAAAGTACTTTGCAAAGGTGGGTAATTATTAGCCTACCTTACAGATGTGGAAACTCAGGCACAGAAGGTTCAGGTGATGTACCTAATGTCACACACTTAAGTTGGTGACAGAGTTGGGAACAGAACACAATTTTGATTCCCAGTCCTTTGCTGACCACTGGAATACACTACTTCCTAGTGTTTCAGATAAGGACTTTATTTTGCTTTGAGTTTTTATAAAAACTGCAACAATTTACAGGTTTAACAAATACAATCAGAGTCAAATCAATAACAGTAGGAAGAGGGGGAAGTTAAGAGATCTAGGTCGGGAGAAGAGAGGTTTCTAGCAGAGATCTGAAATAAGATTAACTGATGTATCACAGATACAGAGAAAAGATGTCACTGGTGGCATCAGCTAGAGAGAAGGCTCTTGAACCAACAATGGCATATACTGTGGGAGGGACAGAAACGTATCCACTCAGAGAAGAGAATAAGAGACAAAAGCTTTAAGGCAAATTCACAAAATAAAGCATATTGTGTTTCCTGCACACACTTCTCCTTCACAGATCAATTCTCTGTAGCTCGAGTATACAATTTATGAGAGCAGCAAGGGAAGATTAAACATCACTCTAACGAATGCTAGAATTTTTAGAGATTTAATAGAGTGACAAGAGATTGAACCTTAAATGAAACATAGAGGCAATCAGTAAAGAAGCAAAAGACAATAGAAAAGCAGAGCCTGTGTCTGATCCCTCAAATGAACTGTATGAGAAATAGACATCTCATTCATACTTCTGTGCACTCGTCTCTCTCATCAATAAGCCTCTTGAGATGGAAAACCATATTCCTTGAGAGAGACTCCAGTTCTTCTGGGGCCATATCTGGCAGCTCTAGCCACTGCAAGTCAAACACATTCTCCTGATTATGAGTCACCTGCAAACAAGAACAAAATACAGTTTTTGTTTTTTTAATTTTCCCTGGTATATTTTCAAATGTTGCTTGTTGAATTGATTCACTCTGTGCAAGGATTTTCTTTCAAGTTTGCTACTTATATAACTCAGCTGTTGGAATCAGTACAGTTCCTCTTCCAATTGTCACCAATTTTCAAGAACTGATGAGTGGGCAAACCTAGTCATAAATGTCACTTTTCAGCAAATATAGCCAGGAAATGGTGCAGAAACGCTCAGTTCAACTGCAACATCATGTAACAAAGCTTCTAGTTTTCACAAGATAGCTAGATTTAGAAAAAGTGGCTGGATATTTTTGTGCTCAAGAACACTAAGAGTACTGTACTCAACTCTCAATCTTCATGCGGGTGAGCTCGTCACTGCAAGAGTCAGGAAGGCATTGGCCCCATATTGCACAATTAGCTAGATGCATTATTAGGGGGGTGACAAGGTTTGTCCTTCCCCTGACGCTCTGGCTATTGACCACTGTCACAGGGAGTATCTGACTTCATGGATCGAATGTGGCAGTGATCTAATCTGGTATGAAAAAAAAATTTTTTTTAACTACAATTCTCTAAAAACTGCTTTTTTCCAAATGATGTTGCTGAAAACTGCACTAGACTGGAAAGGTTCTTTTCAAGTTGCTATGTCCACATTTAGGACTATGCATGTTTCTGCTTTTACCAGAACCATATTCTTTATGTTCCTTAGTCTTTAAATGAAATTGCTAGTCTGTGGGATCTGCTTTTAGAAAGCAGATTTTAAAATATATTAAAAGGTTATTGTCAACATCTTCTAACAGTATGTGTTCCCCAACCCCCCTAGGTTAGTTGGCTTTTTGCTTTTGCATCAGATGAAGCCAGCACATCCTGAGAGAACGTGCATTTCGTACTCGAGGCCTGTCCAGTAGAGGGCATTTACAGAAGGTTTCACCTGAACTCCCGAAAGTGGGATGATAGCTGCTGTTTGAGCAAACATTTTTTTTTCTTTTAACGAAGCATTTAGAATCCAGGCGACATATGTCACCAAATTATACCATTTTTAAAAGACTGAAATCAAATTTTGGACCATCAAGAATACTTTCAAAAGCACTTATGTGACTTAGGTGCTTAAGACCCAATTTCAAAAGTGCCGCAGGTACTTGGGAGTCTCATTGCCTTCTAATGGGACTTAAGCTCCTAAGTGACTTTTGAAAATAAGACTAAATCACTAAAGTGCTTCTGAAAATTTTACCTGAAACCCTTTTTGTGTATCCTTATAAAACTACTTTCAGTCTGAGCTGATGTTTGACAGTTCTGACATTTATTACTGCCACTTTTTGAGAAGTGGTTAGCCCAGTTAATTTCCCAACAACCTAGTAATTTTTACCTTTTAATTTGATTACACTTAGAGGGAAGCAGTGATTTCCAGCTCACGTAGACATACCTGTGCTAGCACTACACAAGCTAGCATGCTAAAAATAGCAGTGTAGCTGGAGTAGCAAGGGAAGGTGGCTTGGGATAGCCACCCAAGTACGTACCTAGTGCATCCAATTGGGCACATATTTGGCAGGTAGCCCAAGCTGCTACCCAGGCTATCCAGGCTACACTACTATTTTTAATGTGGATATGTCTATGCAAGCTGGGAATCATATCTCCAACCCCAAAAATAGATATACCCATACATTCATGGAATGTATCTTTCTTTGTATGAAACACACTAGTGCTACTATGAAAGGTTAACCTGTGCTACCACATAGCAGAGTAAACAATACCACTGAACCGGCAGGAGAAGAAAAAAAGAAAGCAAGCTTCAAGTGCTGAGAACCCTACCTCCTGAATGTGTGAAACAATTGCAGCCTGGGTCTCAATATCCAGTTGTTTTATTCTTTCGATAAACTCTTCCTTTCTTTCACACTGTAAACAAACAGAAAATAAATACACACGTCACTTGAAAACAGCTATGGATCAAAACTCTACCATGGTGTTATTTTCTTTGAACATCTCTGCACAGCTAAAAGGACACTTGCAACACCAAGGGCCAGACTCTGTCACACTTACTCACACTGAGTAGCTAGTGCTTTATTCCATTATTCCAATGCTCCTTGAGGTCACTGAACTAACTGAGGAGTCAATGAACATGCGGTGTGAGTAAGGGTGACTGAGTCCTGCCAAAAGTTTTTAAACTTAAGGCTACGTTAAATGTAAAAAAAGAAACCCAACCAAAACCCAACCTCCCTGCCACCCAAGCTAAAAATCAAGGATTGGATCCACTGCTGGTGTAAATCAGCAAAGCTCCACTGATTTCAAAGGAGCTACACCAACATATATCAGCTGAGGATCTGGCCCTAACTTTACTTTACATCATTTAAACCATTTGTTTACTTTTTGCATTTTGCTCATTTTGGGCAATGACAACAGATCAGTTGGTTTTGCTTTTGCTTCTGCCCACTTCAGCTTCATTTTTTGGTTCTTGGGCACTAATTCAGTGTGTGCTTTGTATGTAAAATATTTAATGAAAAATAAATGAGAATTTCACTTCATAGCTTCACAACTCTATTTTTATCAAATTACTTCTGTAAATCTTAAAAAACAAAAAATACCCCACACGACAGTCAGTGCAAATTTGGGACCTCAAGTTGGCAGAATCTCTAGACCGAAGTAACAGAGAAGTTGAACATTTCCACAGTCTGTTTTCTGTTGATTCCATGATATACAGTGCTGATTTTGGCCCAATTCTGAGTACAACCATTCACTTCAGCGGGAGGAGGTTCAGGTCTTTAAACAGGAACTGAGACTATTCAGCCCCTTGCCGAATCAGGCCTTTCATTTTTTGTGTTAAAATGTGTTAGTAAGAATAAAGTTCCGAACAGCTACATGAAGAGAGCACTGCTCTGACATAATTGACTTGACATAGCTGGGCAGGGAGAGTGTCCTAAGGCATGACAAGAACATTAGACAGACACACAAACAAGGTCAATTATAAGCAAAGACTGGCCTGCAACATTCCTATTGTCTGTTACAACAGTTTACAGTGGAATTCCAAACACAGGGCTTTGGTGTGCAGGACACTGATTCCTTTATTTGGTTAACTGTCATGTATTTCAGGGGAATTTACCATATGTATCGGCTGTCCATTTGGTTTAACAACACAGCATAAAAACCCTCATGTGATCATAGAGTTCCTATTTAGGACTTTCTATCTACACATATTAAAAAAAAAAAAAAGGTAGCGGCTGAGTAGTATTTGTTAGAAGACAGTGATTAGATGTTGGTTTATCTATTCTCTTTGCACTAATGTACTCCATTATATTCCTACATATTGTAACAACAACAAAAAACAACAACTCCAGAACAAAAACAAACCAACTCCCTCTCCCCCACAACAATCCTTAGACTAAGGAGATTGTTCACACTCACATTCTCTCCTGCAGGAATTACTGTGTGCCAATGATTTGGATTGCCTAATTGTGACAGCATGTATCAAAGCACTGTTCAAACAGTGGCAAGGCAGGTGGCAAGCTGAGGCTACAGCTTATTATGCAAAATGTGCTAATTTTTCTCCCATCTTCTTTCCCCCGGTTTTTCTGTTTCATCCATCTATTGTGTCTTACAATTCTAGACCACAAACTGTCTGGGGCAGTACAGCACTTTGCATAACGGGACCTGGATCATTGATTGGCACTGCTAGTTCTAGCACCAAAATCAGATTCAAACAACATATTAAAATATTTTGTAATTCCATAAGGCATGTTCACCTGTACAGCACAGCCCAATACCAACAACAGCATCTTCTTAATTTCATCCATACTTTTACCTACATTGAAAGAAAAGAGGCAAATCAGTCCACATGCACAACATGAGTCACGAAAAATACTTGCATAAAGTGATTATCTCAAAACGTAGAGCAAAGCCCTGTTGGATTGGAGTAATAACCTTTGATTTAACTGAGTGCTTGAATATATACACACACATCTAGATCTGTTTAACATGATTTCAATGTAGCAAAATGGTTGTTATAGATTAATTTAACAGATCCAGCACAGCACTTATGCATTTGCCTGTACAGGCACCATGCTTGATCCTTTAATTCTGATGAAGTAAAAATACAAAGCAGGAGCGGGGGAGGGGTTGTTTTTAAAAGGAAACCCCCCCTGAATACCCAAATTACACATTTTAAAAGTAATCACCACACAGCTTCCCCCAGAGTTAAACTCAGAATGCTGAAGAATACTAGTGCGTACTTAAATTCATTGTCTATCAAAGAGTGGTATGCTTCAGCAATGAGCTTTGTCTCTGTTCTGCATCCAAGTGTACACACTTTGAAGTGAATGCTCCATGTGCTAAGAGGGAAAAAATGGGCTGTGTAGAACGGAGAATATTCGGCTACCATACGCTCGTGGATCCGGCGGGGAGAAAGGGCATAAGCAGGATGCTATTGCAGGGAATCTTGCTGTGACCAAGAACCCAGCAAGTATCATTCTCATTCTTAGTGAAGAAAAAGAGTGCTACGGAAGGGAAATTGCTCTGGCTTATTGCCAAGTTCAGATCTTGTCTCAGCAAAATTAAAATATGGCTATTACCTCCTCATTGGGGAGCAAAGAAAGTTATACACCTTTACCCCGATATAACGGTGTTCTCGGGAGCCAAAAAAGCTTACCACGTTATAGGTGAAACCGCGTTATATCGAACTTGCTTTGATCCACCGGAGTGCGCAGCCCCGCCCCCCCGGAGCACTGCTTTACCGCGTTATATCTGAATTCGTGTTATATCGGGGTAGAGGTGTATATAGTAAAGATAAGGGATGAGGAAATCAGAAGAACCAACGGTTGAGGCATAATTGAAATTGCATGTCCAGCTGGTAAAAAACTGGAGGCAAGTTAGATTTAAAATGAAACATCCAGGAAACGCCTGACATCATATACACCATGCCGAAAAAATAGGCAATGCATAGCTTTCTCTCTCTTACCCATCTGTAAATGTATGCACTCTTCACACACTGTATAATAGTGAGATAAACATTTTCACATTCTGCACCTCTCTACTTGGGTGTTCGATTGTTCATATCTATATACAGGCAGAGGAAGGAAATTCCCTCTATTCACTGAGAAGTTTTTGTGTGTAACTGTATTAACACACCACCATGCCCTTGTAAGGCTGTGCTGTGCAGTAAGTTACATGCATCTGCAGGACTGACAGTAGAGAACTGGAGTGAAATTGATTAATCAATTATGCTAACCCAGCATTTCAGATTAACAAAGAAGGCACACTGACCTAAATTAGCAAAGGGGTGGAGTTTCAACCTGAGAGTCTTGCAATGCAGACAAACCAAAGTTACTGTTAAAATAGGGGAAGAGCTCTAGTGAAAGAATTATTGGGCTTTTTTCCCCCCTCCCTGTTTTCTTTTAACAAGTGTCCCGAAGTGTCTAAATAAACCATTTTTGTTAGCTAAATTTTCCAGGACAACCTGAGGACAGAATGCTTTGTCTGTTTAAAGAAAAACCAACAATTTAAAAAGAAATAAATAGTTTTTCAAGAGTGCTTCACATAAATTCTCAGTGCCTGATATGTATAAGATCTGATTTATCAGTAGGGCTCCATAAGTAGAGCTTTAGTCTTCTAAGAAAACATATAGTTGTAAACCCTGCCAGATCCCAGGCTATCTTACAGGTATATTTTTATTTCCCTTCAGGCTATTTAAAACTTATTTTTCAAAAAGGGTTAACATCCTTCCTACATAAACACACAGTGTTACAGTATTCATGGCTCACTCTCTTTTGTACAACTGAATTTTTGTGTACACATAGAATCCACAGTTTTGCACAAATAAAATAATGCTACATTATTCTGAGGGATACAATCAAATGAAATGTAGTCAATACCAAAAATGAACTGAGTTAAAAGTACACCTCTACCTCGATATAACACGAATTCGGCTATAATGCGGTAAAGCAGTGCTCGGGGGGGGGGGGGGGGCTGCGCACTCTGGTGGATCAAAGCAAGTTCAATATAACGCAGTTTCACCTATAACGCGGTAAGATTTTTTGGCTCCCGAGGACAGCGTTATATCGAGGTAGAGGTGTAGTTTCAGACAATATTTCTGCTTCTAAGTACACTTGCCAATTCTTGTGGCTTTACAATCAAATTTTCCTAATTAATTTTTTTTTCTGTGTCTCCTATTACACCATGAAAGACCCTATGTAAAACTGACTGACAATACAGGAGGATTTGTTATGAGGTGTTTTAACAACAGGAACATAAACAATTCTCCATGCTCCCACCAAATGCAGCTGAAACTTACTATATAGCAAATGCTGTCTCAGGTGAATCAGCTGATCCTGTATGGGTTTAAAGTGAGCTTTCTCCTTGTGCTTACAAAATACTCCTTTTACAGGAATGGGGGCCTACACATTTTGAAGCCAGTGTCTGATAACTATTTGGTCCAGTCAGTCACTATTGCCCTAAGCAGATATTTAGCACTGGCCAGAAAACAAGAATTTCATTTAATAAAAAAAATGGAGGTTTTGGCATCATTCCACATCAGTTTCAGAGCAGATTCTGAGCAGGGACTTGAATCTTGGTCTCCCAGATCCCAAGTGAATGGCCTAGTCACTGGGGTTCTTCTGGGGTCATTCTCTCTGACCAGAAATTCCATTCCTGGGCCTGAGAAACCTTCCTGACAAAACTTTAATCAAAATGGACATGGTTTTGGCTTTGACATATCAGTATTTTCTGATGAAAAAAAAATATGTCATTGAAAAATTCCCGCAGTTTTACAGATATTGCCCAGGCATCTCACACATCTAATAGGACAAACCTAGGACAATTTTGAAGCAAACAGTTTACATTCCAGGAAGAGCAGAACATGCATCTAAATTAGAAATCTTGTTTGCTTCTGCATTATTTATTTGGCATATGCAATCAGGTCAAGCCAAGCCTCAGCGTTCTTATCAACAATGTTCAAGACATGAAGACCTCCAGGAAGCTGAGTAATTTTGCAGTCCTCAACAAAATGTGTGATGATTTGTGGCTGTCCACATTAACATAGCGTACTGTCTTTAAAATGCCACCGAAATTCTGCTGCAGCACAAATTCCATGTCTGATACGAAACTAGTTGAGAAGACTCCATTACCGTCATGGTAAATCAAACCCAGGTTGACATTGTGTGGGGTCCAAGACAGATAATTATTTGTCACTATCTCTGCGAACCATGAAGCTTGCCCTACATCCTCTACTGTAAATCCCTCACCTGGTAAACTTATCCACAACGAGTGCCGTGAGGGCAGACAACCATATGGTGGATTAAACAAATCTTTAATTAACAGTAGAAGTGGTATATCACACAATTTCATCACAAGCTTTGCTGCGCTTTCCTCTTTGCGAACACTGGGTGGAGCAATATTGCAAAGAACCAGTAATCGTGGTAGAGGGGTAGATGTAAGTATGCCTGAAATAATACGCATGTTGGAATGAAGTTGTATGTCGATCATCCTTGTGTGAGATGAGCGAGCTCATACTGGAGTGCAGTACTCTGCCTCTGAATAACACAGTGCCAAGACTGAAGTGTGTAATATTTGGGCATTGGCACCCCATGTCATTCTGGCCAGTTTTCCAAGCAGGTTATTGTGTATTTTGATCTTAGCTGCTGACTTTGTACAATGGTCATGATATGTGAGAGTTCTATCCAAAGTAATGCCTAGATAGAGCAGGTGTGAATCATGCTTTATTCACTGACCACTGAAAACGATGTTCAGCTCTCTGCCCGCTTGTGCATGATATAAATGGAAGACACTAGACACAGTCTTACTTCCACTATTAATCAGGCGCCACCGATGACAATAATCGTCCATAGCCGCCATATCTACATTCAAAACACTCTCAAGTACGTCAAAGGAGTGTGACTAATTGCTTATCTGCATTAGGAAGTTATCACTATATCCCTATGAAAAGAGGGCACCATTAAAATACTTTGTCTATTGCACTGTTGTAAAGACAGGATTGTGGAATGCCATGAATACTGTTAGTGGTTTGATGACAATAAGTGATAAGTATCGATATATAACTATGATCATTGCACTCTAATCACTATAGAGTACCATCAAATACATACTTAACTACCTGCAAGCCTTACTACATCTTACAGTATTAGCTCATATACAATACTTCATCAAAAATCTGTGTTTAACATTTATCAGTATGCCTACTGGTATGGCAACCGAGGCAAATAACTAACTAGGATAGATGTGATGGTACTTGTAGTTGCCCCCAATGAAACAAAGTTTTCCAAAAATAATGTGATTGATTTTAGCTAGTAAGTGTACAACCAATTAACCTAAAAGGTGTAGATGTTACTTAATCCAGTCTGGCTAGGTCTTCACTATACGAACTCTGAAGGTCATGAGGTATATTAATGTTTTATATATAGTTTTACTCTATAGGCTGCACAAATGTTTTAAAGATAATGTGTTAAAGTTTTAAGAGCCACATTTAGTTCAATTCAATGGGGAAACTGAGGAACAGAAAAGTTAAGTGGCTTATACCAGATTACAGAGCAAGTCACTGGCTGGAACTAAAACAGTACAGTACTATGTACACTTGGGATTAAAACAACACAGTGACAGACCTGGGATTTATGTACAGGATCATGTACATTTGGGATACAATATACATTGAACAAAAACAACTATTCTTTATACCCAATTTAATAATGCTTCCTCCACAGCACACGCTCCTGTAGTGCTTTCTAAAGGGTTGATTTGCATTAACATAATGAGGTGGTGAAGCCATAAGGCACCATGCTGATAAAACTGGAGACT